AAAAGCTTTAAAGCAGGAGCTGACCTGCTTTCAAGGGATGACCCCCAGCATCCCTTCCAAATAGCATTTCTCCATAGATCTTTTCCTGAGAGCTTCCCAAGGCTCTCGTTTGTCCCCCTGCACTTCCTGCAGGGCCACAAGACTAGCAAGAACCGGGGCAAGCAAAGTTCTTAATTCTGGATAAAACTGTTGTTTTTTTAATGCCTGCATATCCTCTGGGATCCTGCCGGGCTCTAGCAGGGTGACTGCTCAGTCACTTTAGAAACATGAGATTTATTTGCAATTCAGCTTTAAATAATATAAACTGCTGAATGACTCTGGAGGTCAGGTTAAGAAAAATGTCTTTGTGGTACTGAGTTTAAAGAGTGGGCCTGATTTAAAATCATGTTTTCAGACACTAGACTTTCACCTTTGTGTCCTCAAAAAAATATGAACTGCCCTGTCAGTCAGGCAGGAACTTTTGTAGAAACACAGATTGTGGAAGTTCAAGGATAAACTTCTGGTTTTGACAGGTGACACAACTGTTAAAATTACACCTGCAAAGCAAGAAGTAAGAAAAATACTTTGCTTCAATTTACCAGCTACTGAATTTGCAATATATACAATGTGAACAGTATTATAAAACTGTCATAATAGTCATTTAATCAAACATTCCCATAAAAAACATGTTCCCTAATTGACCGGTCCAATAGAGGCTTGTGTGGAGTTTTTTTGGTGGGGATGGGCAGCGAGGAGATGGCAGAAGTGGGATTTTTCCATGCCAGGGAGATACACACGGAAAACACGGGACTAAAGGGGACTGGCTTCCCCCGGCAGCAGAGTATATGTTATATACGTTATATATGCATATGTCATGGAGATGAAGCAGCCACAGCTTGTGTTGATATACAGTCTGTCAGTACAGAGGGAAAAAAAAGGAAAAAAAAAAAGCAAAAACTCAAGGCAAACAGTTTCATAAAACATTCATTTATGAAGAGCTTCAAAGTTAAGGCTGGGATACGCTTCGATATAAAACATAACTATTCATCATCTAAAAACGTTAGTCTAGATGCAATTAAAAAATAATCCCAAGGCTCTCAACAGAATGATTCAATAGAATTTGATGAGGTCTTGCATCATTTAACAAAGAAGAACGTGTAGCAGAGGAAGTGCTTGCAAGTCTCTTTAATAGGTAGATCTGAGGAAAAAAATGTGTGTACAGGTTTAAAGCGTGGCCTTTGATTCATTTGCTTTGGCATTTCAAGCTTATCAAGGTACCTCAGCTTCTAGCAGACGACTAGAAGCTGAATATAGTCACTCAACTTGGGGTGAAAACCAATTTCCAGCTTCTGACCGAGGTGCAACCCCTGGAGCAAAGGGAGCTGAATCCCACCAGGAGCAGCAGCAGACCTTGTGCATCTGGAGCAGCGGCAGGGCTAAAACTACCCGCACACACCCTTGAGTTCCTACACGCATACCTGGCTTTAAATAACAACAAATGTAATCAGTCGCACAGCAACATTCATCCCCCTGAAAGCGGCAAAAAAAAAAGAGTTTATATTAAAAGCAACAACAGCTGAATAAGTAAATCAACAAGAGCTTATTTAATAAAATGCTTTGGTCTATTCAGAGCAGTTATGATTGCACATGCACGCTGAATCATGAAGCATATGGGAAATCTGATTGCAGGTTATTTCCTTGTTGTGAAACTCTGTGAAGCATTTTAGAAGGCACTTTACTAATACAACTATGTAAGGCATACTTTCTTCTATAAAGAAAGAGGATTTCTAATTTGCATGCTACAGGCTTAGCAGTTGGTGCAACATACTGTATTGCAACTGGTCAATGCATGTGGGTGACTAGTCCTAAAAATCACTTTAATTTCAAGAACTCCCTTGCAGACCTATTTCCCTTAACAGACATATTGCTGAGGAGCCTGGGAATCCCCTGCTGGGGAGGTTCTGAGTTTCACCCAGCTAGTTCCTTAGACACCAACCAGTCTGCAGCACCAGCAGGGGAGATGGAGGAGAAAAGAGGTAAAAACTAAATCATTCAAGAGAGCAACAACTACCAACAGCAGACTGTGATTTATACTGGGATGAGTTAAGATGAATTGTCCACCTCGGTCAGCTTTAGTATTCTTTGGTATTGAAGTTACGAGCTGCCTTTGTCATGCCTAGAGTCACTACCACCAGGTCTCCTAAAACCAGCAGGGAGGAGAGCACAGGAGCACTGTGCTAATGCTGCTGTGCTCCCTCCGGAGCCGGCTCCAGTGTGGAAACTATTACTGACCTCCACAGGCAGCTTGTAACCGTGCAAATAGGTCGTCCTGCAAGTAAAAACACCACAGAGCCAGCTTTATTCTGGCAAGCATGAGGCCAACTTTGTAGACATAAAGCTGGGCAGAAGCCAAGTCTGTAGAGAGTCACGAGTTCCTCTGCATTCACTGTCTGCTGAATTACATGCAAATAGATTATTAATATTATTATTATTTTGTATTATCTATGGTATATAAATAGTTGCCTTCAGTAATATGAGTTTCCTTCACAGGAGTGTTTGTACAAGTGATGAAATGAAGAGTATCAACAGCATCAAGAAAGGAAGAGAGGAAAGAAGAGAAAAAATGCTGTGACAGCATAGAAAACCTCTCACAACAGTAACTGGTGAATGAGAAATTTAGTTTCCCAGTGCACGGGTGACACTTTGCAACCTGGTGAGTTTACAGGGAAGTCGCTCCTGGCAGCCCCCAGCCGGCTCTTTCACCCCTGCAAGCCATGTGCCAGCCGGCCCTGCTTCCCCCTTCTGCTCCCGCTTTCCCCGGGGTTGCAGGAATATGCAGTTAGGCAAAGCATAACATGCTGTACATGGAACCGCAGCCGTTGTGGGGGTTGATGCAAAGCCCCTTCATAGACGCGCTTGTGCCTGCCTCTCGCACCGCTCCTGGGCCTCCTGCAGCCCTTCCTTCACTCAGCTGCCGCCTGAAACAAGTAACCCCGAAGATCGAAGGTTTCCATTTCACTGTGCACAGCAGGGAACCTTCGCCATCGTTGTGGCCTCCGCTGGGCTTGCTCCGCACACTGGGGAGCACCCAACAAGGCCCTGCGCGCCGGGGCCTCAGCAGAGGGGCAGGTGGTGCCTCGCGCGCGCAGCGGCCTGACGGCTGCCATGACACCAAGGTGACACGACACAGGCCTTCCCCAACGCAAAGGCACCTGGCTGCCTCACTGCCAACCCGATCCCAACGGCACCCGAGCTCGTCCTAGCTCTTAACACGGTTGAACGGGGTGCAGCCCTGTCCTAGGTCTTACCAGGGCTGCTCGACATTGACTTCTCGTTTCGTTGCCTCCACATTGACTTCCCATTTCGTCAGCGCTGCTCAACGCCCGCTCCCCAGGCACGACCGGGAATCTCAGGCTTCCCGCTCACCCATGTAACCTGGTCCCAAACTGGAAGAACTTGGGAAAAACACGTGGTAGTTCAAGAGTGACTCAGCAGCAGAGGAGAGTGAAGAGGGGGAAAGCAAGTTTAGCAAGTTCCAAGAAACATCACAGCAGTGTTTCCCTGTAAAAGCTTTACAGCAGCTTTCCTAAGAGCTGGGAAGCTGGGAGTGGTGAATACACAAGTTTTATACAGCAAGCTATCTGAACATTTTTTTAAAAATAACATGAAATATCCTAAAATTCTTCTCTTTGGCAGTGCTGTGCAGCTACAGCATGAAGTGTATAAGTATTCATATATCACCACAGCCTATAGAAAGATTATAGTCTTTTATTATTTTTTTTTTACAATGACTTAATTTTCAATAATAAAGTTCAATAAATTGATTCCCTAACCATAAAAACTTGTTTTACACATTATGTACAGGTACCCAGAGACTACAGCCGTACAGAGCATCACAGCTACACCACACACCTTCGCACGGCACGGGCTGGGGAGAGGCGCTTGCCGCAGTGACGTACATTCAGCCATCGAGTTGTGGAGATGCACATTTGGCACAGCCCACCACAGACTGTCCACGCAGGGACAGTAAAAACAATCCCAACCGAGTGATAAGATGGATTAGTTCAACCATATCAATTCCAGGAGGGGCACAAGTCCACAGTTAAATTGGCCATCAGAAGTGATTTGACTTAACTTGAATCAAATGCAGCTGAACTAATCATTTCAGTTTCATTAAGCATCCCTCTGTAGACAAACCCTAGATCTTCAGATTTGTCTCCAGCAGAGAATAAAACATTTAAGTTGAGATATGCAGACGTTTGAGGACCAAGGGCAGCACAGGTAATAAGTTTCTTTGGCAGATTGATGCAAATATAAAAAAATAGATTACTTCTGAAGACTAAACTAAGTTTTTCCTCCTTTTATTTCTATTTACTGCCAGCACCAGAACTGCTTCAGTGACATAGTTGCATGTATACATGGTAATTCATATAAAATTTCATCTTGATAAAACAAAATGCACAAAAGATAAACCTCAAAACTCAAGATCCCCTCCACGAGGCCATCTACTCCCCCCCCACACACAAAAAATAGCATTCAGCAATAAAACTTTATGATGGCAATGACTGGGTCCAGGAAACACTGCATATGATCATTCAGTATGAAATGAGTAACACAGGCACATACAAGTAGTGATGGACATCAGCAGCCAACCTGCAAAAGGAAAGCAAGATGTGCATGGCAGCCCCCGTGGAAGGCTAACTACTGCCTTCTGACATCAAATAAAAGATGTTATCAGCTTGAACAGTGTCCCTTTGTCTTCTGTGGGATCAACCAGACCACAGCACTCACCCAAGTTCTCTGCAATCTGATCTCAGTATGACAATAAAAGCTAGCAAGTTTATGCAGTCTGTTTTATCACATTACATCAAGTTTTAACAGTTAAAATACATTTTTTTCCCACAAAGCAGCAGACATTCATTTAAAAAATGGAATTTCCCTTTTAAAAGCACAAGATTTTTTCCTCTCAAGTGCCATGCCAGTTTCCTCACCATGAAGGGGATTCAGACTCATTCTGGTAAGGAAAAAGTGAAAGCTCTTGAATAAAGTGTCCAAGGGCACTACAGCCCCCAGGGCAGAAGGCCCAAATATTAGTGTTTGCCTCCAGGAATACTGCTCTAAAGATACTGCTCCATCCAAATGCTACAAAGACTTCCAATTTCAAATTATGCTCAATGTTAAGAGTTGAATTAGACTAGGATATTCTCCTATAAAGACTACTTAGCCAACATAACCCATTCATTGTTATGTTGGTTCCAAGGTACTGCAGTGCAATTCACTCCATCATCCCTCCTGTCTATTGCAGACTTCAAACCAACCTTTGAATGCACAGTTCAAAAACAGCTCTAACAAAAAGCTTGGGTGGACTCCCCTGCTGGGTACACAGGCAGTGCAAGTCAGTCACGTTTGCTATAGAAGCATAGCTAGGTTTTTTTTTTTTTCCCAGCAAGTAATGTAAAAATCTTAAGCAGCATGTCACATCAGGTTAGAATTTTATGCAGAAGGAGATATATAGCCAATATATAGAACTGTTTAGGCTTATTCTCTATAGAAAAGTGATCTCACCGGTATGAGGGAAAGTTTCACTTAAAGCTATAGGAATAACTATTTTTTAGACTCAAAAACAGGGCATTTCTAGACAAAAAGGTTAACCCATTCCCCACTGGGCTTCTAAACCTTTTTTTTTTTTTAATTGGGTCTCTAGTACTTCTGGAACTTCATATCTACACTCCTGATTTAATCTTGATAGACAAGAAACAGTCTCCAGTCTCATGGATACTAGAAAAGATACTGAGCATATATTAGTCAATGCATCTGCAGATGAATTTGACCATTAGCTCTGAAATGGTTGACGGTGAAGAATTGTGTTCCTCACAGCTCCTATTTCTCATTAAGAGATCTAGTTTGAATTTCAGAAGTACCTTGAGGACGTGGAAACCTATTTACACTGTCCTGGACATCTCACACAACTGAGCTCTTACATGTTTTTTTTTGGTGACCAGGACAGCAAAGTGGGGTAATTAAGCCTTGATCAGTTTGGTTTGCAATAGCTGTCCTTTTTCACAGAGCAAACCTGTGAATGTCCCCCTCCCCATAAACAGATTCTCACACGCTCACACAGACACTCTAGAAAGGTAAGACACTTTATTGAATTTGTTGATAAATTAAGAAAGGACTATGAACCAGACTTATGGGTCACAGGTGCTTGTAAACACAGACATCAATTCCTTTCCATGGGAAGCCTGACTTTGCGTGCTCAGCCAAAAGTCACTTTCCCCAGCGTTGCTCACAGGCTGCATAGTGACGGAGAGCAGAGAAAAAGTCTTCATAGCTGATGTTCACGTGGGAAGGCAGAGAACTGCGGAAGCAAGGTAGCAAGAAGTGAATGTGAGCGGCTTTTATGAGCACTGTGACTGCTATGACCTGTAAGGATCATCGCTACTCAAAGTGAGCTGCCTCCTAGGCTTATTTGCAAGACAAGTGTTACTGCTGTGCAACTCCATGGCAAGGAAACTACCTGCCAGCATCTTCTGTCACCCTCTAAATCAACACCTTGCATTAAGTCAGGCCCATGAAGTTAAACACAACTGGGTAAACTCAAGCTTCTCTAGGCACCCTGTAAATGCTCCTAGACTTTGGTAGCGCAGCAGGTGGTTAGTTTAGTTATTGCCAAACCTTGAAAATAATAGCCTTTCTGTTGCTGCTTCCAACCATGATTGGGCAATAAGGCCTAAACACTTGATGTTTAACATCTTAAATACTTTTAAACTAATATCAAGACATGTTTGCTTAGAGGGTTCCTCTTGAGGCTATTTCTGTAAGGTAAGCCACATATTTCAGGTTTCTTGTTTACTTAAATATTATTCCAATCAGTTTCACAACATTTACAGGAAACTCACATGATCTCTGTCAGTCTGATGTGCCACGGAAGGAATCCTAACATGCTGTCCACAGGACCAAACTTCAAGACTAAATCAGGATCAGGAAATCCATTTGTACCTGTACGAACAGCAAATTAAGTCAGTTTTGCCAAATCCACCAGAGTGTTTTTGTTTTAATTCTAAATCCTAAGGCATCTATTTCAAACTGAATGCACACCACATGTGAAGTGAAGCCCCTGGGGACAAGTTAATCATCACAAGAACAGCAAGACAGACTGGTCTTGTACCACCCAAATAAAACCAGCTCTTGCTTAGCTGGTCCTATAGCAGTTAGCTTGAGAGGCTTTGTGAGGAAGTCATGGGAAAACACATTGTTATGAACAACAGACACTAAACCCTACCACTGCTGCTGGAACTGACTTGTCTCACCTTGGCAAGCTGGATTTTGGCAGTGCAGAACAACCTCTTGACCCCTACTCACAGCTAACTCAGTCACGTGCAGCTGCAGTCAAGCCCAGCAAAGGCCCATTAACACAACAACCTTCGTTCTTTCAAGAGGGCCAAACTGATAATCATCACATACTACCAAAAAGAGTAATAAAAGCATAATAAAACCCTCTTAAATATCTTTCACGTTAGATGATCAAGAAAAGGCAGGAGAATTTCACTAGTACTGAGTAGAGAACAGGAGCATCTTGAGGCAGGACTGGGTAGCACCCTGGGAGCTCACTGGGCACCCACGTTCACTCCCTATCCCTGAAACTCTCCATCACTGCCAATCACCTAATCACATCCCAACCCACCACAATGACTTTGGATGTCAAGTTCCAGAGACTGGAAGAATAAAGTTGTCTTCAGAAGATCTCAGGTTAACAAGGAATGACATTTTGTAGCCCTAATATTACAGTTTGATACACAAGGAAGTCTTCCCTAGACAAGGGAAGCTAGGCACATGTTTAGCAGCTTGGTGTCTTGCTCTCCACAGGAGCCCCCTCCTGGCTTCAGCCTCTGAAGATGAGTTGGTGGCCAGACAACCTTCCTTGTCTCCCTTCCACAGACTTCTGCCAAGCCCTAGCTACTCCAAACTAAAATTGTTCATTCTAAGTTTATTGCCTGTCAATCTTAGAGTTCAGCTCTTTCTGCTAGTTCTAAGAAGTTGATTATAGCAATGTGAAGGGCAGCATAGCACCGAGGACCACCAAGTTATTTTCTTTCATGCACCCATCTAGCCCAGCTGAACAGCACTTCAGCAGTCAGAGCTCTGCTTGGCTATAATGATGCAATTAATCACAATTATTGCATGATATTTCTGATTTATTTCCTGCAGCCTCTCCCATTATGCACTAACTCCACATGTTAACTGCACAGATGCTTATATTGTGTAATCCCTACCTCAACAAGATGAGTTTAATACTGACTGTCTGCTCTGAATCTTCAGTCATTTCTACATTTTAATATGGGCCTTACAAAAGCTTAAGTTGAGATAACAGGGGAACTTAACTTGGGGAAGAACAAGAGAGGAAACTGAAGTCCCATCTAGCTTCCCTCCCTCCAGGGTTTTAACTAAAGCCAGAGAGTCCGGAAGTTCACATCCTCCCTCCCCAAAAGGGTGACAATAGCACTCTTTTTGCCAGAGGTAAGCAAGTTTTCTATTATTCCCAGAGATATGCATTTCTAGTGACTAGGATTAATATTAGAGAGAAGAACACCTTAGGCAGCAGAGCTGAGTGCTTATCTTGTAGTGAACAAACATGCTATAAAGGAGAAGCTGCTTATTTGCCCCAAAGTTAGCATTAGTATGAAAAAGCTTTGCAGGAAGCAATGAGGATACTTAAGGTAGGGATTCCTGTGGAAGTGGACAGCTTTACTCATCAGCTGATTCAGAAGCTGAGTACTCATCAGCTGGCCAGTTCAGCAGCAGGATCTTCCACACTGTAATGGATTTTCAAACAGGAAAGGACCTCCAGAGAGCCCAGTTAACTCTAATACTTCCTTCTGGTTCCTATCTGAAGATGGAAAATGAAAATGGACACTGTGTAGTAGTAAGGTCAGAACAGCTATTTAAAAAGCAATACTGTGCTTACCACCCTACACTTGTCTGCCTAGACATGTCACCCTTGCAAAGCTACCTGACACACAGAAGCTCCCTTAGAGCTGCTAAAGTTACAACACTCAGGGTTAGCACATGGGACATGATCTGGGAATGAGGAAAGGCTTTGACAAGACATGAATCTAGCAACGTTGCCCCTAAGCCAGGCATTGGAGACAGCTAGAAAGGGGCCACTCGATCCGCATGCAGCTTCCTTTATTCTGCATGTGTTTCCTCAGGCAACTTGAGCTGCTAATTTAACTGGCAAGCACGTTTACTGGGAATGCTGATAACAAGTAAAGATATTAGAATGCAGCTAGCATCTACTTTTCTGAAAGTTCATGCTGGTTACGTGAGGCATGGCCTAGAGGGGAAGGTACTGCTACACTGAGGAACGCCAGGCAGGTTGCAAGAACTGGAACGAGTGAATTATGAACCAAACTCATAGGACAAGATGGAAGAATCACAGTATTCCACAACTGACTCCACTAATAAGCCCACCCGAAATACAAATAAGGGAAAAAAGGTGCCCTAAATTACTGTGAAAAACATTATGGAAGTCAACACTAAGAAACCCATCTAAGAGTATAGCTATTCAAGTATTGCTTTTCAGTACTCCAAATTTGCCCCAGCAACTTAATACAGACACTCATGTTTGATACCTTGCTCTGCTTTGCACAGAAGCTAAACCTGCCTACAACCAAAAAGCAGTTTCCAGAGTTAGGGTTAAAACATCACCTCCAACTGTTCTGAAACACAGAAACCAAGAGAAATACTAAGCAAGATCAGTTAAGCATACAGATTATCTTTAGTTACGTGCCACACAGATTCTACAGCCTATTCTAAAAGTACACATTTTGACAGATTGAAGGAGCCTAGTATGTTCTTTCCTGCATGCAGGTGGCGTGCGCTATCAGAAGAGCCACACAGGTTTCTTAAGGCTATCCCGACTGGCTTCAGTAGCTTCAGGGCATCCAAACATGTAAGGAGAGGAGATCAGGAGTAAGCACCCAAGAAGCCGAGTTAGGCTGACATCACTAGTCAGGTTTCACAGATAGGCATCCACTGCCAGCCTTCCACAAAGCAAATACTAGTTTCAGAAAAACAATTCTCCATTACCACGTCACACTCTGAAGGCAATTAAAGACTGATGTTTAAGTTGATTCCTCAGCTAACGAGCACTGCACCTATATGTGCTACTGACAAAAGCAGGCTAAAGCTCAATTCCCACACTAAGAGCTGCTTCAGTGAGAAGGAACCACGCCGTGGGCTGCCAGTGTGGGCGGAACCCAGTCTGAAGTTAAACATCTGCTTGAAAGGCCGAAGCTCCCTCTGCAGTCAAAATCCAAAAGAAAAGTTATCTGACCAACCATTTAGGATGAGAAGAACTGCCTCCCCCCACCCTGCTCTCCCCCCTACTCCAAACTCCAATTAAAAACAGCCACACTAATGATAATGTGCCTGCAGATAACCCAGTTCAAGTGTCTCAGCTGGAACCCGAGTGCTGCCTATGCTAATTGCATGGCAAGCAACATGCCCGGGTCACCTAGGGAAGCAGAGCACTCCACCCTCAGTACTGCTGGGAAGCAAAGGTTGTACTTTGGGTTACTCCTCCTGGACAGCAGATCCGGGCTGCCCTGCCTCTCCGCTGCCTTGCACGTGGCCACACACCTCAGTGCACAGTCAGCAACCTGCACGGATTGGGAGTGCAGACAGAGCGGGCGTTACGCAGCGGCACGAGGTTAGCAAGGCCTCTGGCACTCGCATCCAGGGGGACGGCCAGGCAGCAGCAAGAGCTTTCACTGCCACAACCAGATCTAGAAGAGGCTCAATCCACACGCATGTTTGCGTGATGCTCTCTTCCAAGGACTTAACCTAAGCTACACTAGCCTGCTGTTGATTCCAGTAGTATTTTTTTCTTCAGAAAGCTCCCACAGAGCATCCCACACAGGCTGAAAACTGCTTGAAATAAGACTCGTCACCTTAGCTTACGCCTTCCTCTCAAGCACTTTAGGTTAGACAAAGCAAACAGATCTGAAGTTTTAGCAGACTCTGGAAGCCATGATCATCATCCACCCCAGTAGATTACAAGTCAAAATAAATGTTCTAAACAATAAACATCACGGCCCAGGTAAGTCACAGCTTGATTCCTCCCCTTCCTCCCCTCAGACCACACATACTTACTACTTAATAAGTTGTCTAAGACATTCACATCCAGGTCTGTGTGTGTTCGTTGCTGCTGTGCTACCAACTGACAGAAGTTCTGAGCAGCTTTTATTATGTCTGCTTTCCCGTCTTCTGGAGACAGCACCTTCAATGTAGATTGGCAATTTAAAACTGAAAGTACAAAACATAGTTTAAAAGCAACAGAAATAGAGTTGTTCTGAACGTGCACTTTAGATATTCAATGGATGTGATGGAAAGAAACTTATGACATACTGTGCATATTATGCACTTTTCACAGCTATCTCTCATCTATTGCTTACAAAGCTGAGCATCAGTCTTCTGACCTTGCTGCATTACTAATGAGCAAGTTCAAAGCAACTATTTTGAGGAATGTTGTGTAGTAGCTTAATCAGTGTCAGCCTCAGGATGCAAAGACCACTCCAGAGAAGCAGCACTAGCTCTCACAGTGTCTGGAAAGTAGCGACATGAGGGCATTTAGGTAGTGACTTGAGGATAGCAGACAATGCACAAAGACTTACTATTCAAGGAAGAACAAAGTTTAAGTTTTTATCCTATACAAAGCAAGTTATAGAAATAACTTTTTTGTATGACAGGATCTTTTAGTCAGTAACCAAATACAATTACAGAATCTTTTCAGCAACACTCCAAATGGATGCAAAAGTCATAACACTGATCTCCAGAAGCTGGGAAATAGGCAACACCACCACAACTCTTCTACACTATTGAGATCATTTGATTTGTCAATATGCTCTATGACAAAAAGGACTTTTATGATGGAACAAACATGCAAAAGGTGGCATTTTGAAAAAACTGAATAACTGCAGGGGTGGGGCAGGAATAAGGCCAACTTTTCAATTCACAAATTCTAGTCAGTGGAGAACTGAGTTACTGATAGCAAGTGGTACTAGGGCCCCCTTCAGTGTCAGTGGTACTAGGGCCGGGCTAAGGGAAGACCCAACTAGAGAGAGATGCCTGGCTGTGCTACAGTTATAGCAGGCAAACAAAAAGGTACAAAGTAGTTTAATGCAAACCCAGAATGGCTGCGAGTGATCCAATATCAGCAGTTAATAAAGGAAAAGGTCACAGAACACAGGAAAGTAGCTAAGTAAAAGCACAGTTAGCAAATCATATATAGCTTATGTGGATTCTTCCTGATCCTCCAATTCACCTTACCTTGATCAGCTTGGTCTTGATTTGCGAATTCCACTGTGTATTTGGAGCAATCTAGTCCCAAGAGTTCTTGTTGCTGTTTTAAAATTTCATCCATTAATCTGGAGTTGTTCCTCTTGAAAATACCTTAAAAAAAACAACTGCATGTCAGCCAGCTCCTATAAAGGATGTGGAAAGGAGAGAACCACACGATCAGCACTGGTTTCAAACTGGAGCTCACAGTACGGGGCAGATCTAGAGCAGATGCTACTACTGCACATGAGGAATTTCAGTGACCTTGGAAAGGAAAGGGCAGTGAGGCAGCTTTGCATCTCTTCCTCGTTCACTGAGTTAGGCACGTGCTGCTAGTTCCTGAGGGGACAGCTTAAGACCTACCTCGCTACTGTCTTTTATATGAAGAATAACTTCATATTAGTATCACCTTATCAACACAGGACCATCGACAGCAGCTTTGTTGCCTCATTCTGCTCTAGATTTCCCTAGACCCATGCACGCACACAAACACACACACACAACCATTGCTGACCCCTCACTAGGGCTGCAGGATCACCAGCAAGTCCCAACACGAGCTCAGTGCACCAGGCTGCAGAAGCTGCCCATTCTTAGGGCACAGGGGCTGTGGCACCAGTTGCCCCACAGATTTCACAAGCTGCGTACTGCAACAAGCTCGAGACTCACAAGGCCTTTATACCTAAATATTTGCATTTTCAGTGCAAAATATTGCACAAACTTGTGTAAGCAAGTACATTTGGGTTCTTGTTCTAAAATAAGCTCTAGCTCTTACTAAAGAGACCACAGCTATTTCTAATAGAAAGCCACAATAAATATAAGCATTACAGCTTAAGTAACTATAATGCAAGACTGTTGCTAAGTATTTCCTAGTTTAGTTAGGTTCTCCAAGCGAAATTTGTTCTGGTAGCAGCAAAAAATTGTACTGATTGTTAGGAGAATAAAAGCATTATCAATTCCTGTATCAAGCACTTAATATTCAACCCATACCACAGTCAGTTTACAACACAACAAGCTGAACTTGTATACAGATTTATGAACACGCACTTTCAACATAAATAATGGGTCAAGCAGCATAAAAAAAAATCACATAAAGACTATAATATTAGATGCTGTTCACAGTATTAAATGATGTGGTACATTTAATATGTTGGTCTTTTAGCTCCAGTGAGTTAGTTTTTATATAGACATTATACAGTAGTAAAGCACCTGTTTCCTTCTCCATCCTGGACCCTTCCAAAAAAATGTTTATAATCAATTTCACATACTGACAGTAAGTCTCAGTGAAGCAGCAACCTTGAGACACAAAACCGTTAGAAAGACTTGTACAAATTCTAATTTAAAGTTAACTTTATTGCTGTTGCTGCGCTTTCTAATGCTGCTTACCAAACTATGTTCATGCATGTTAGAAATGAAGAATGCTGCTTCCTCCAGCTCTGCTAGAATTCGCACAGCAGTTGTCATTCAGTGTTTGTCCTGAAGGCAGTTTTAGTAGCAGCACAGCTACCAGCACTGCTAGGCCAGGGCCATTTTCAAGTTTAATGAGACTTGTGCAAGGCTGAAGGTACCTCAATGCCTTTAAGTGCCTCCGCACTTGCAGAAAGGAAACTGGCTTCCACTTTTATGGAGTTGGCATAACAAGGAAAGGACACCAGTGTGGGAGTCTGCCACATGCTCCACTTCCTCCATCCTAAACCAGGGACATCAATTTTGTTGAGAAAAGTTGTTACCTATTCCAGTCAAATATGAGTAAAACAGGTCTCAGGATCCACCCTGCATGACTTCAAAGAGAAGAACACTGAGAAGAACAGAGACTGGACTCCATGTGGAAGGCACTTACTGACAAAAAAGGAACATGAGATAGGAACATGAAACAACTCTCACACACACACACAGTATGTATTGAAGACACATTGTGCATGCAGCTGCCTGAGCCACCTGGAGCCAGCTGGCATTTAACTTCCACGTCTCTCAGGGAGCTCTTCAAGAGTCCAAACCTGAAACCTAGTTCCTGGATCCAAACCTGGATTTATTCTTGGAACAGAGAAACAATAGTTGGAAGCATCTCCAAGTAACAACCCTAACTGACCCGCTAACTTTGACACACTCCTGCAGCTTTCTTGCAGAGAAGTACCTAAAGCACAGAGGCATGTAAACAAGCCAGCTTAAGTCTCCACTTAAATGCTATCGAGATGTATATATTTTTTAAAAAAAGATCTTACTTCCTCCAGTGTTTTGTTTCTCATTGGACATACAAATCCAGCAAAAACATGTTTAATTTCCTTGAAAGCTTACGGTGGCAAAGAGTTCTGCCACAGCACATCCAAAGCAGTAATGTACACAGACCAAATTCACACTTAGCTTTAAAATTATTTTATATAGATATGGCTCAGACTTTCCTTCTTTACAATATCTCTAAACTCAAGTTGTCAGAGAAATGTGTCTTAAGCACACTTTAAAAACACTGAGGCTAGCATAGTAGAAGATGTTGCTACTAATTTAAGAAAAGATAACTATTAAAAAAGTGAATCTACTCCTGCACTAACAAGACCCTGGAATGATCCTAACCTAGGAAATGGTGTTTTCCTTAAGACTACCTTGCAATTTTGTACCATTTTTCCATACAAGTTGAAAGCAAGTCCATACCAGGATCTTAACATAAGAAAGTTTATGTCCTGACAAGAGGTCTGATAATTCAGCAGTACCATACCTGTTTGCCAGGAAGGTTCAGTGCTATTACCATTCCTAATGGTAAAGAATGCTAATAAGGAAGACTTCCTGTTTTTTGCTCATTAGAAAACACTACTTCTTGTTTTGAGAAGAAAATTGCTTCTGCTTTTCAATCACATCTCTGGAATCACTGCAAACTGAGGTGAAGATAACATACGCCAACAATTATTTCTTTTAATAAGCAGGCATATTTAAGCACCTCTACCCTCAAAGAAAAAAACCTTCAGTTAACTTCTTAGAAGTATCTGTGTGAACTGTTTCCAAGGACAATTCTTGTTTTTGCAGGAAAGGCTGCAAAGCAGGTACTGCTCCTTTGCTCTCTGCTAAAGCAAACCAGAAGCATTTATCCTTCCCATCTTCCTACACCAGCCCTCCACTACACGGATCTTCGCCACGACAGATTCCTTTAAGCAGTAGAATACTTGCAAAAACATCATAACTATGAAGTGACTCTCTTACAAACTAATTTTCTGTTTAATCTCTATTTCTGTTTAATAAACAAGAAATGAGAGCCCCTGCTCAAACACTGAAATACAAATGCAAGAAACTATTATGACTTTAATAGAATGCAAAGAAGGTTCCACACAACACTGACAGCCCACAAGAAAATGCTCCTATGTCACGAAGCCACAACAGGTGCACCTCTGCAGTGACATGAGTGCTAAACAATCTGCCAGCTCTACAGACTTTGTAGACCAGGCTGCTTGGCTACCAACTATTTGGGCAGAGACAGCAAGCCCTAGGACTCCTTTGGGCTAACAAAAGAATTTTTGGTGATCACAGTACTCTATCCCTCCCGGAGTTTAAAATGGTCAGAAGTAAAACATCACTGGATGTTACTGTGTTGTTCCACACAACTGGAAAGGTAAAACCAGGATAAAGAGGCACCTACGTTTTAAACAGTGTACGAGAACTTCAACCAGAAGACTAAACTCAGGAGCTCGAAATATTCAAGTGCCAAGATTCTGCAGACTCCCCCAGAGAGCAGGAACGCTTCACAGACACCCTAATCGAAGCTCTCATGAGCAAGAAAGTAACTTTTGAAGAATGTGAATATACTTAATAGCTGCCAAGGTTTCTGCTCCCCGGCAGATACCCACTTTAAAGACAGTCATTGCACAGACCCCTTTTTACTCCAGTTTTGCTTTACTGCTATTTGTATATTCAGAAAAGCCATCCAAGAAGCCTATCACATTCCACAGGTAACATCCAATATGGTTTTAACATATTGGATTCCAAGGCCTCACAAGAATCAGTTTAACCCCAGTCAAGCTGTCCTTAATGACAACTTGTTAATAATATCCTAGAAGTCCACTACTGTAAGCAAATAAATCACTTGTCAGCCATTTCTGCTTTGAACAATGTTGTGCTTTCCCTTGTCCTATAGTTGTCACAGTCAAGGACACATCTCAATTTATTCCTTCTACTGGAAACCATAACAGAGAGCAGCTCTTCCGGGAGAGCACAACAAGAAGACTGTTCTTTTAGCCTAGGTTTCCCATCTTAAAGAGAAGAATCTCACTACTACAAGAACACAGTGAAGCAAGAGGAGACAAATTAAAACATACCCAAGAACATTTCACAGCCAGTGCAGGTTGCACTGCCGCTCCCTGTCTCACCAAACCCCATGCCTGGCTAACAAAACCTTTGATCAGTACTTGGTACATACAGTCAATGCCTGCTCAAATCCTGATAACGTAACAAGCTGAACACGGAGGACACCGGATCTGCTACTATCAGGAATATGCACATCCTCAAGCCAGATTAACAGCTCTATTTGCTCACACTTGCTGTGAAACCCATTTAACAGGCTCAGATGTGACAAGGTGCTGTGCCCCGTGTCCCAAGAGGTCTGCTGAATGCCAGAGAGGAATGCATACCTTGCGGCAGCAATCCTCACCAGGTAGACTGCCTACCTATCCTCAGCAAGCCGGGAAGCTTGACTAAAGCCACAGACTTAAAAAGTCTTTAGGTGTTTTGCATTAAGACTTGGCTTCTTCAACTGCTTGCCACTGCAATGACACAGTAAGGAGCTGGCATTAAAGTTGGTGATTAAACCAGCATATTTTGATGCCAGAGGACTAATGGAAGAATTAAGTACTAAGCAGTATTGTCTTGCGATTCTGAAGTCATGAGATTATGGCCCTTTTTTCCATAAAACCACTTAATATGCATCTCAATCACTTTAATGTGAGGTAACAGCAGCTAATGGAGTCTTGATTCATTCTTTTTTTCCTTTTAACTGCAGAGATAAGGTATTTTGCAAGATTATTTGGACTACTCTGCTCTTCAGAGGACTTCATAACCTTGTTGTGTTTTGTCATAACATTCACAATGTTGCAACAGTCAATCTCAGATCTGACCTGTGGAACTTAGCACATATGCTTGAAAAGCAGTCTTGGCTTTCTCCTCAGTGAATACCACCACCATAACCTCCACCTCGTTCTTGCCTTTGACACAAAGGATCTCAGGGGCTGCGTAAGCATTTGCTGGGACCCTCTGCCTCCTCCTGGCTGAATGGCTGGGCGGTGAAGCACCTGAAAAATCAAAGTCTGCCAAAAAATATTACTCTCTGCTGGATCTGCTGCACAATTTGTGTCACATGTGCATTTGTGTCACATCATGTGCGGGTCAAGGAAGATTCTAACCATGGTTTCCCCTTACAATATACCTACACGTCCCCAACATACTAGGTAATACTGCAGATTATGCTTCTGAGGAATATCAGATAGGCCTGCACAATGAAATGCCTCTTCAGATCACAAGGGGAAACACCCTTGAGTGTTTGCTCTGCAGTACTGGTTGAAAGCTTTTCAAAGTTGAGAATAAAAACATAAGCACTTATCAGAAGGGTTCTGATGTCCTTGAGATGTTACATAAGGACTCGTTCCAACCATTCCCTGACTTTCCAAGGAGGAAGCAAACATTCTCTCACTGACACAAAGCACTCTACAGGAGCCCTGCACAGTTGGCCAGTTTAGGCTTAGCTGAAATCACTTATCAGTCCAACTTCTTCCACAAATCTTAAGGATTACCTAATCAAAGCCAGCCCCTTGACTCCTGTGCTACACGTGCACAACCATCCAGGAAGTAGAACTAAAGGCAGCGGTGAAGGACGGGATGGGGAACCTTCCCCCAAATTAAGTGACAGCCCTTTGGGAAAAGGCCTCTATACCTCAGGTGCTTTTACACATTTAAACATAAGTGATATCACCTACTTAGATGGGATGCACTATTCATTTTCTGCCCTGAAGGAGCACTGAAGGAGATCATTGCTACTGACAGACTGTATATTTAAGCTGGCATATAGCTGCAAAGTTGATTTAAATTGCCTGACATCCGTGTTCAACCACCAGGAGTGGCACAAAGCTGCAATTAAGCATTAGCCTCTTACAGCGTCCTCGCTGACAGCAGTGCCACCGATAGCTTTTTGTTGAAGCTTGTTCCTTTAGACACGGGATGAGATGAATTCTCCATGTTATTAGTACTTCTTCATTCATAGCTTTTCTAGACTCAGTAAGAGACCATTGTGGCAGTCAGAAAGGAAGCCACACCTAAGGAAATTCTGAATACAGCTGGTTTCGGCCGCTCTGCAGGAGAAGGGGCTTTGAGGAAGTCTGGCTTGTTTCACAGTCTGGCTTGTTTCACAGTCACACCAGGGAAGTGCATCAAAAATGTCACGTTTAAGAAACTCAGTGACATGGGACCAAGACACCTGTAAGAGCCGAGTTCAACAGCCGAAATCCACCAATGAATGAAACTCTGTAACAAACCTCTAAAATACTCCAACTTTCATAACTGCTGCCTCAAGACCACAGAAGTAACTCCAGCATCAATGCTGAGCATACATTGTACCAGGAGTATAAGGCACTTTTCTCATATTCTTAACATGCAAGTAGCGCAAGGGACAGACACTCTTACATTCAGATACCTTTCCACGCTGCTCCTTTGCGGGAGCAGGAGCAACACAAGAACACGCAGCTAGCCCAGCAGTTCAGACACAGCTACACACCAAGCCTGAAAGCACAACAGCCACAGCTCTCACCTCTTGACAACCAGAGGGCACAGCTAAGGCTCCAAGAGGGGCCAACAGCTCCTCTCAGCCCTGCGCTGGGCACAGGACTCCAGCAAGACCCCACAGCTCTGCCCTCCAGGGCACAGGCAGGGCAGGGGGCAGCAGGGGAGCCCCGCAAGCAGCGTCCAGGCTGCCCAGTCACAGGCCACACAGAGCAGCCAGGCCTAGGCAGGGGAAGGGAGCGGCCTGGATGACAGCGGGGGCTCAACCCCCACCCCACCGCCCGAGACGCCCCGCGCTGCCTCGGCACCGCCGCTCACCGTTGTGGTCGTAGACGCTGACATAGGAGATGCCCACGGCCATGCACCACACCACGAGGCTCGCCATGTCCGCGTAGCTCGGCTCCTCCTCGGTCACCACGAGCCCCATGTGCAGGGGCAGCTTGCGCAGCGCGCGCCCGTCCAGGCGCCAGCGCTGCCGGGCCGCCGCCCCGG